TAACCCGTTGTTCGTTGTTGGTCGACCATGTCCGTAATCGGCTGTGTGATATGTGTAACCGTTTATCACATATTGCCGCCACACTTTGGCACTGGCACTTGGGCCCCACGCTAATGATACTAACAAAGGGTCGACAATCCCACGACTATTGATCTGTAAATATAAACATGATAATAACATTAGGTAAATATTGAAAAACTTACTTAATAATTAACTACAAATTTAATGTATAAGTATTACAATTATAATTATATATATGTGTGTATATATATACCTGATACTTGTACCAATTTACAAAATCAGAGTCCACCAACGCATCAATTTCATTCTCAGGAAAGGCTGATAAAGAAGCTCGGAATTCACTGTGAAGTCAAAAATTAAAAAACTATAAATTAACTACAAATTTAATGTATAAGTATTACAATTATAACTACAAATTTAACTTACTGATAAAACGGTGAGATTTCTGGACAATTCATGAGGATATAAGTATGCGCAATTTGCAATTCCCCACCCAGGATGTATCGTTGTGTCGCAGCACCTTTACCTCTGCCTGGGTAATTGAAGATGGAAACTACATTTTCATATAAATCCTCGCCAATGTCATCGTTCCGGGCAGGTCTCTTCCTTCTGGTGATGACGTCACGCTCGATATTCTAGATCAACAGAAAGTTCGGGTCTATCACACCAAATAGTCATATCTTTCCTAGCTGCAAGACCGTCTTTAGTTTTGCCTTTCAAATCCATCACCGTGTTAAATATATTGTCAAAGACGTTCTTCTCGGTGTGCATGACATCTAAATTGTGACGGATGAGAAGGTCTTTCCAATAAGGCAACTCCCAGAATATGCTCCTCTTTGTCCACTTATGGGTATCACAATACCCATATGGCTCTTGGTTTGGCTCTTCCATAGCCGTAGGAAAACGTCGAACCCGGTTATAAATTTCTTCACCGGTCAATCTCGGGGGTGGGCTCTCTCGTACCGCTCTGCCTCTAATGAAAGACTTCTTGTCCTTTCGATATCGGTGCCTTTCCGGGAGAAACTTGCGGTGACAATCAAAGTAACTTCCCTTTTTGTTGTAACTGAGCCAGTTGGCACCTGATTTCTCCATGCATATCGGACATCCCATCAGACCGTGTGTGCTCCATCCCGAAAGCATGCCATAGGCAGGGAAGTCGCTAATGGTCCAAATGATGGCAGCTTTCATGATAAACATTTTATCTGATGAAACATCATAAGTTGGTGTCCCAACGACCCACAATTCTTTCATCTCCTCAATAAGGGGTTGAAGATAAATGTCTATCTTTCGCCCAGGATCCTTGGAACCCGGACAAATTAAAGACAAAAAGATGAAATGACTTTTCATGCACATGTCGGGAGGGAGATTGTAAGGTGTTAACATGACCGGCCAACATGAATAGTTCTTGCCAAACCTGCCAAAAGGAGCAAATCCATCTGAGCACAATCCCAGCCGCACATTTCGTGGCTCCATAGCAAACTGAGGATGACAGCGGTCAAAGTGTCTCCAGGCTTCACAGTCCGAAGGGTGAGCCATCATACCCTCGTTGGTTTCGTGCTCAACATGCCATGTCATGTGTTTCGCAGTAGCAGTCGAAGCGTACATCCTTTGCAGTCGAGGAGCTATTGGGAGGTAATACAGTTTAGACAGTGCAGACCTATGTCGTGGTTTCTTTTTACCTTGACGAACATGTTTGTATCTGTCTCCACCACAGAACTTGCAGAACTCAAGTGCCTCATCCTCCTTCCAGAACAACGTACATCCTTCCGGGCACGCATCAATTTCAACACAAGGTAGCCCCAACTTAGACATTAACTGCTTCATGTGGTAATATGAATCGGGAAGGGTATGATCTCGCGGTAGCATCCCTCCTACTGACTGCAAGACTCTATTCATGCAAGTTTCAGGGAGACTGTATTCGGCTTTTATGTTCATGAACTCAGTAACAGCGGATAGCTGAGAGTATCCCTCACAATCAGCATACAGAGGTTGGTCGACAGCTTTTAGAACATCCTGAAATCTCTCAGCCAAACCTTCATCCACATAAGGTTGATAAAATGTCGGATTTTCATCCGCATCTGGTTGATACGAGGTTGAGGCTTCAGGGGGGTCGTTAGGTGGTTGTGGGGGGTTGAACTGAGACGGTACACCGTATGCGTCATATACCATTTGTTGGTCCCACCTCATTTCAGCACGGTCTCCCCACGCACTCATCTCTGGAGGGACGTAACGAGACGAACCTACCGTTTGTGGTATAACAGATGGATCCAAAGGTTCGCCGTGAGAAGTCCAATTATAATAATTGGGAACAAAACCGACCGCGTACAAATCATACCCAACTTCGTGTGGGTCTTTAAATTTGAGATTTTTACACTTTGAACATGGGCATCTTATTTTATCACCACTCATATAAGCCGGATGTTCAAGTGCAAATTCAATAAATTCCCCGACTCCCTCGAGAAAATTTGATTGCATTCCGTACAATACCGCATCTTTATCATACATCCAACTTCTATTTTGTTTATACATTATGCCTGAATATTATAATAAAAAATTATATGAAATGCAATGCACACAATTTTAAGTAATTTATTTCACTAAATATAATCAACTAATTTTCACTTTTTTTAAATGAAATGCACAGAATTCACAACAATAATGCACAAAATATATGTCCCCTAATGCACAATAATGCAGATAATTTCACTAAATTAAACATACGTTTAATTAAATCTAACTAATTCATTTAGTTAAATTTAACTAAATTTAACTAGTTCATTCCATCCCCTTTTAATGCATCACTACGTTTAAACCTACGTTTAGCTACCTAATTTAACTTAATTAACACATCAATAGCTACGTTCAAACCTACGTTTAGCAAACGAATTTTAATTAAATTATTTTTGTAAACCTACGTTTAAACCTACACTAAATTATTACGTTAATGACATTTAATCTTATTAGTAATACACAATTAACAATTCACTAAATTAAATAATATGACCAAATTCAACCCAATAATTTGAACATGTATATAAAGTTATTTGAATTAATAAGCAATACACAATTCACAATAACAATTCACAATTCACTTAATTAACACATTACTAACGTACGTTATTTGAACTAATTTCACTAAACATAAACATCATTACGTTTTAAACCACATTTAGCTAACTAATTTTAATTAAATTATTTTAATTTATAAACCTAAAAGTTTAACTAATTCTAATTTATGACATTACTACGCTTATAGTTAAAACATGTTGTTAATTAATTAACAACCTCACTAATTTAATAGTTTTAATAATTTAAATTGAACCAACTAATTCTAAATAAAAATTATAATTCAAATAACATACCTTATCTGCATAAACAGGGAAAATGATAGAAGATAGACTACATCCTTCGATCTTTCAAACGGATACTGTATATACTGGGAATGAATTGGTGTGGTTCTGTTCAATGAGCTGCTCCTGCATATATAAAAAATTTAGTCACGGACTTAGTCACGGATTTGTCCGTCACTAAGCAAAACCGTGTCCAATACGCGTCCAACACGTGTTAATGACGTGTAAATGACGTGTTAATCAAAGTAGTCACGGAACTAGTCACGGATATGGCCGTGACTAAAATTATCTGTACATAATGCCGTTGCGAATTAAGTTAAGGGAGTTGAAAAAAATTAAATTTTAATTATAGTCACGGGTATAGTCACGGATTTGGCCGTGACTAAGTCGTCGGAATCAAATAAACTACGCCGGAAACGGAAACGGGCCTATCGGAGGACTTAAGTCACGGGCCAAGACCGTGACTAATTGTAGTCACGGCCATAGTCACGGTCCAGACCGTGACTATTTTTTTTTTAAAATTTCCGTGACTAGTCCGTGACTAGACCGTGACTAAACTAGTCACGGACCAAATCCGTGACTAAAATCCGTGACTATAACGCTGTTTTTTTTGTAGTGTTCTACTATTTTCAGTCCATCACTTAAGTTATTCTACTAAAAAACATCATATAATTATGTTTAGTTTTAAAACAAACTAATATAATCAAGCCATTTTGACCTGCTATTGCAAGTTATTATAAAGTAATAATAAAAAATAGCATAAATGTATAAATAGATAAATAAGTTAAAAACGTGAAAATAAAAATGAATAATAAAAAACTGAAAAAATAAAGTGAAAATGTAAAAACTATACAATAAAAAATGTAAAAAATGGTAAATAGATTTAGAATATAAAAACAGTTTAAAAAATGCAAGAATATTGACATTGGCACTTTGATGAATTTCAAAAAATGTATCTATATTTTTCAAATTTTAACAAATTTTTAGTTTTTAATGTAAAAAATTTGTTATTATAGGTCAAAAACTGATTAAATGGTCAGATTGATCAATTTTTCAAAATACATGTACTTATATGACACTTTTTTAGTATAGAGGCTCAAATGATAGATTGAAAATAATAGAATGACTTATTTGACCATTTTACCTATAAAAGGGTCACATTTTAGTTCATAACTTTTTATTAATAATAATTTAGAAAAACCTCTAATTTTATCATAGACTAGTTTTCAAGCCTGTGCGATGCACGGATAGTACATAATTAAGCTAATTGTAAATTTAATATTTTTAGAATCATATATAATTTAATGTGATGCAAAAGCAAAATAAACTTGATCTAATATATAGTCATTTGATAATACTAAAATTGGTCGAATTGTCTGACTCTACTGTAATGAATTAAATCTAACTGACTAAGCTAAATTGATGGAATCTCCCAAACTATGAAAAAGTAAAATAAAATATAATACATAATAAATATATAATTAATAAAATAAATTAAAATTTATATGAAAAATATTTAAAATGGACTTCTACATAAGCATCTCAACTAAACATAATTGTTATGAACTCGATTTTAAAGAATTCACACAAAAGTTTCTTAATTAATTTCACATCCTTGGTGAGATGTAGAATGGCCAAGTTAATGTGGGGGCTGTGGAAGCGGAGGAACTCAGTCGTCTGGGACGGGGAATGGCAAGGAGCTGCAGCGGTCCTAAGCTGCTGCACTAATGTTTGGTCCGCATGGCAACAGGTGCAAAAGTCAGGGAAGAAGTGGAGGGGTCCAGGGAGAATTCAGGAGGATAAATGGCAACGACCGAAAGCGGGAGCAATTAAGATGAATGTGGACGCGGCTGTCAATGAAGCAGGGGAAATTAGAGCGTGGGGTTGGGTTGCCAGAGACGAGCAAGGAGAATTTCTCAAAGCCCATGGTGGTTCGTGTAAGGCGGCAGAGCCGGCGTTTAGCATGTTCAACATGCTCTACAGAACAGGGCCTCCCGATTTCTGGGGACCCAATTCTTTAAAAAATTATTAGTATTACATAGTAATATTAGAAATAAATACTAATCAATAAAATAAAGTTTTTTTCGGTACTCTTACTCATGTTTTACTCAAATTGATTAAGCGATGAGTTGTATTGCTTTAAATCAAGTATTAAGTGATTTTTAGAATCTTTATTACATTATTTGATGAATATTCAATTGACTTCACTATAAGTATTTCGTTTGAGTTTTTTTTCTTAATTCTTAATATTAATATGAGGCCTCCATTTTACGTTTGGAACGGGGCCTCCAAATTCATTGGACGGCTCTGTAAGGCGGGGTGGACTCCGGCAGAGACGGAGGCGATGGGCATCCAAGAAGCCGTTTTAGGGGCAATCAGGGAGGGCTGGGATGAGGTTGAATTTGAATCTGATGCTCAAGCGGTGGTCAGAGGAATTCAGAGTGGAGGTGGCATCGCATACACGGATTTGATTATTGATGATATCAGGCACTTGCTACGAACAAAGAGGAATTTTTCTATCTCTTTTTGTAAACGATCTGCGAATCGTGTTGCTCATACTTTAGGAAGGGCGCATGTGAATCTCTCAGATCTTAGTATTAGCTATAATGTGATCCCAGAATGTATTGTAAGCCATGTGGCTAATGATGCTTTGATTTAATAATAGACGTCGGGTTTTACTGTCAAAAAATTAATTTCACATCCTTTATATTACTTCATTAAAAGTCGCCTTCTAGCTTTTGTACTGTTTAAAAAGTCTGAAAAAGTTTCCAGTTGTATGTTTGGCATGACAACTTTTAAGAGTTTTTCAAAAATTAAAAGGTCTTTTTTTAGATGCTATAGAGAGTAGCATATGAGAAAAGCTAGTGACTTTTAGTATTAATTCGTCCTAACAGCTTGTATACCAAACAAAACTAAATCAAACAGTCAGTTTTTTACCAAATAGCTACCAGCTTTTCCTTTTAAAATCTTTTCAGTCACTAAAAAGCTAACAAAAATATCTTTTCAGCTAGTTGTGCCAAACATGCCCAAAGCATCTCAAAACACTATTTTTTTTAAATATTTCTCATTCAACATGGTATGAAATAAGTATTTGTAAATTTTATTAGTAAGATCTTACATTGTACTTATTATTTCATCACATTGAAATGTAACAAAAATGGATCATTTTTGCAATTTACTCATTTAATTTATCACGTTGAAAACGTCATTAATAAGGATATTTTTAATTAGATTGACATTTCCAGTTCTAATTTGGTCTGGAGTAATACAATGCGGAAGATGTCTATTTTATGTATGTATAACTTTGATGATGATGATGATGATGATGATGATGATGATGATGATGATAATAATAATTACTATTATTATTATTGTTGTGATTGATGTTTGACCCGATCTTGTCTGAGGGACTAAATTGGTCCAATTAAAAACATTCTAAATGTATGAAGATTTCCTAATTTGGATAAGGAAGCTATTTCAAAAGTGAAGGAACATTTAAATTGTAGTTGTAAAAATAAAGAAGGAGTTTTTCCTTACATGTTACTAATAAAAAGTCGTGGACAAAAATATTACTCTTAGTAACTATTAGTGACTATAGTTATGTTTAAACTTTACATCATAGTAACTACTTACATGTAGTTACTAAGATGTAAATTTGAACATTAATATAGTGACTAATACTTACTAAGTAATATTTTTGTCCATCACATTTTAAAGAGTAATAATAATGGAGTTTTTTCAATAAAAAACAACTAAACATATTTACTTTTTTGGTTGGGCTAAACGTATTTACTTGTGTGTGTGTGTGTATATATATATATATATATATATATATAGAGAGAGAGAGAGAGAGAGAGAGAGAGATAGAGAGAGAGAGAGAGACTTTGGTTCAAATGAGAACAAGTCTTAATGTGAGAAATGAGAACAAATCCTAGCCCTTCAAAATAAGTGATGATCTGTGATCAAATAAATGGTAGTAGAGGGCATTTACGTCTTCTTTTTGTTGACAATTAATTGGCCGATTTTTTAGTTCATGTGCTTCGCATGTTCAGTAATGGAAAGAAATAAATTGCATATAATACTAATTGTTTACTTTTAGTCTCACGTGTCATTTAATGGGATCCCAATGTTTAACATTTTCTATTGTTTGGCTGTTTTATTCTAAATACGTGGGTTCCCATTTGGGAAAGAATTACTAAATTCCATATCATTTAAAATATTGCAATTTATTTTTCACCTTAATTCTCCTCTCCATTTATAAAAATATTTGTATCATTAGAAGGTAAATATCCCTATAATCCTGATCACAAAAAAAAATCTCACCTTATTCAAATGCACATTTAAACTTGTTTCTTTCACTTTCTGGTCTTCTATATTAATTATCTAAAAATACACTATCAAAATAATCTAAGAATTTACTAATGCACAATTATAATCCAATGGTTTTCATATGTTCAACATACTTTACGTCTTAACATTTGCACATTTTTCTCACTCATATGCATTTGTATAGTTCACCATTGCACTATTGTATCACTCAAATGCACTATTTCGGGTTGTGTGTCAGATACCGATTCTTGTGGATGATGTATTTGTTGCGATTCTCTATGTCCATACTATGTGCTACATACGAGTTCTATAACGTATATAAATGTATTGTGTTGTAGATACTAGTTGATGTGTACATATTGTATAATAGTTTAAATTATATGAAATCTTTATGTGTTCGATCGATATTACTACGTAGTTCTTAATTGTTGTGCATTAGATACTATTTTTGTGATCGAGATACTTGCTCTTGTGCTTTATATACAAACCATTTGTGAGATACTCATTTTCGTGTGCATTAGAGACTGATTGTTGTGCATTAGATACATATTCTTGTGTGTGTGATAGTTGAAGATGCTTGTTGTGGTTTATTGTATACATATATTACTTTTTTTTAAAAAAAAAAATTATTCATACAATATTGATGTCATTTGAAAGATAAAAAATTTATTTAAATTGATATAATTATTTTTGATAAAGTTGGATTATAATTTAAAAAGTTAAATCACTTTAAAACTAAAAATATTTTATTTGATTTAAGATTTTATCTTTACCTACTTTTTTGGAAAGTGAAAGCCTACAACGATTGCAACAATAAATGGATTTTATAGGATTACTCTAATACCCTTTATTAGTTGAACGTTACTAGCTATTTTCATTTATAGGAGAAAGATTACATGTGATGAAATGCATCTTTATATTGTGAGTCAATTGATTAATGGTCATTCATTTAATGAGATGGTGGGTTAGAATGTGTTCTCATTTCTCACAATAAGGTGTGTTCTAGCTCATTAGAACCACTCCTTATATATATATATATATATATATATATATATATATATAGAACCTCTCTCTCTCTCTCTCTCTCTATATATATATATATATATATATATATAAACACATATATTTATATGTATGATAGGAATTTCCATCCTAATAAAGGTAAGCTACATGATCATATATATACTCCGTACTTGATCAATAGAGTTTTAAATGTTTTAATATATGAATGACTAATACTATATATCAATTTTATTTTTAAGTTAAAGTATTGGCTGAAGTTACTGTAGATGACCATTTTAGACATTTTTTCATTAATATTGTTTTGATTTTATTTAAAAAATATTTTAAATATAATTTTTTGCATAAATCAGCAGAATCAGCCATTACAGTCACTTCAGCCAAAACTTTATAAAATAATTGATATAAAATATAGTCTATGTGTATGGATGGCTATTTATTATTGTGGTTCCAATTGCTTAAATTTAATAACTATCCAAATCAATACGGAGTAAGTAAGAGACTAATAGGTCATGAAAAACTTACCAAGTAAGGTGAATTCTATCCTACAATCTTTTCTTTCCATATCAATATGCAATAAAAAATAGAATGTAATAAAATAATTGATGGATGTAAATCCACCGGAAAATAATTAATAAGAGATAGCCGAAAATAATTAAAGTGCTCAGGATAATACTTAGAGAGATAAATGTATGTAGTGTATTTAGTGTATTGAGCTTAATCCTTCTTACAAGAGTTGCATGAATTTATAATACAAAATTGAGACAAGAAATATTCGGGCGACGTGGTCGCCATGTCTGAACTGACACGCCACCATCCTCTGATTTGTAGGACTGATTGCGAGTTGACCCGAGATCTTCGAGATTTGGTGTTGGTCACGTAGCTTCTGGGAAGTAGCATCATGCATGTGCGATGGTCTAAGCGTTTGTGCGCCACGCGCGTTGAGGCTCACCATGTGATGTTCAGCAGGCCGTATTCAAATCCCATGGTAGAGGTAAGAGTGTGTCGTGCTCAGCATGTCATGTCTAAACCCCCATTGTAAAGATAAGACCACGTCATGCTCAGCGCGTCATATCTTGGTAAATGTGACTCCATGATTCTCATCCCGGGTATGTTGACCATGTATTTCCTTGGGCCTGATGTTCACGTTCGTCTTGTCCATATCATTTACGGGCTAAGCCCACCTTCAATCGGGCTTACCATATTGGGCTGGTATTTATGTCATCACAAGCCCCCCACTTCCCGAGCCGAGTAATAAATCGGTGAGAGGAAGTATACATTAACTACTCAAATAAAGTCATATTATGCCACATAAAACCACCATTTCATCTGTGTTAAAAACATTCATGTCGAGCGCGTCGCTTAGAGTAGTATGCCAATGATCGTCCCTTCCGTCTATGTTGAACATGTCACCCATAAGGTGTTACACCAAGAGATAAATAATTCGTCTATGCTGAGCATGTCGCCCTTATGACTCGCTGAGCACGTCATCCTTAAGACCCGCTCAGCATGTCATTTGTAAGGTGTTATCCAAATAATATTTTAATCATTCATGCTGAACATGTCACTTCTGAGGCCTGCTGAGCATGTCAACCATAAGATGTTACACCAAATAATAAATAAATGTCCACGCTGAGCGTGCCACTTAGGTAGTACACCAACGGTCTTCATTTTTCCATGTCCGTGTTACCCAAAAAATAATCTCATGGTGAGCATGTCACTCATAGGCGCTATACCAAGTACCGTAAACGCTGACCATGTCACTCTGGAGGTATGCTGAGCATGTCACTCATAACGTGTTGCCCCAAATAATACATATTGTCCATGGTGAGCATGTACGTGGTGAACATGTTGAGCGTGTCACCCAAAGTAGAATATCAATAATTTTTATTTGTACATGCTAAGCATGTCATTCGAAGAGATAACACCAGGAGCTTTCCATTCGTACATGTTGAGTGCATCATTTCAAATTTTCCACTCAAGATTATTTGCCAATGCTCACCATGTCTTCCATATTATCACCAATCATTTTTCACCCAAACATTAATTTGTCCCATCATGTAATTTTATATCATTAACCAAAATATTGTTCATGCTTCAAAGACTCCAACAGAATAGCTACATCTCGAAGAACAAGCTGCCGCCGCTCCGGAGAGACTCACCGCCGCTGCCCCGGAAAAACTGAACACCGCAGCTCTGAAGAAGGTCATCGCATCTCCAGAGAAACAGAACCGCCGTCTTATTGAACCGCCGGCGGCCGGCTTATTGAACGGCCAGAACAGTCCGCGGCCGGAGAAGGTGCAGCTCCTACTGCCGCCGGCTTATTGAACGGCCAGAACAGTCCGCGGCCGGAGAAGGTGCAGCTCCTACTGCCGCCGGCTTATTGAACAGCCAGAACAGTCCGCGGCCGGAGAAGGTGCAACTCCTCCTTCATACTGGAAGCGATTGACGAGGTCAAGAGTTCGACGCAAAACCGTAGCCATCACTGCCAACTGCGGCCACCTCCCTTCGTTTCTGGTTCGCCGCCGCTCCAGCCTGTCGCCGCCGTCTTCACCTCAGTTGCTCGTACCTTGTTGCGTGTGGAGCTTCCCCTCCGTTCGTTTTACGAGAGAAGGTAACCTCTCTCCACTTTATCTTCTTATTTTGACTTCTTTTTAATTTTGACTTCTCTTTTCAATTTAGCTTTGTCATTTCGTTTTTTGTTTCTCTTATTTTCTTTTTTGAAATGTTAGAACTTAGATGATGATATCCCTCTTCCTTTACCTTTTTTTTGTAGGCAACTAGCCAACAATTTTTTATTTATTTAATTAATTAATGATTTTTCAATTTTTGTTTTTTGTAATTAGCTGCTGATTCCTTTTTTTAGTAATTAGCTGCCGAAATGTACTACCTCCGTTCTTAAATAAATGCAACATATGAAATTTTACACTATTCACATGGTCTACTCTGACTACATTTTATTTATTAAGGTATGAATATATTTTTATGATAAACAAATATTGTTAAATTTGTCTCATTGTAAATTTTCAATATGTAATTTTTTTTTAAAAACTTTTTTACTAATATAGATTTATACTCCGTATATATTAATGGTCAAAGTTGTATCTCGGTAAGTGCGAAATGTTGACCGTTGCATTTTAAGAACGGAGAAAGTATTTTATTTTTAATTTTGCTAATTTCTATTTATTTGTATTTTAGCTGTCAATATCTTATGGATGTACTGGACTCCATAGACTCAAGCGAACTTTCGGAACCGGTTAGTGGAACGGCTTTGGAAAATGTACCTTGGATATATGATAATTCTGACACTGAGGTAGCTAGTCCAGAATCTCCAATAGTTGACTCGGTGAGACTGAAAAGATGTCGCCCTCGTGGGCTATACGTTCCTTTAGATGCGACTCACATTGAATCATGCAAATCACGACTTTCATTGTCTGAGTTTGAAAGATATCGGGGACTTTTCCCGTCCGATGTTACCGTGGTTATCCCGAACCGAGATGACATAGTCACTGAGCCCCCTGAGGGTGATTTTTTCGGGATACATACCCTCTCCGTGAGGCTAGGATTCAGGCTCCCCGTGCATCCTTTCATCACTGAGTTCCTATGTGAGCTTGAGATTCCTCCGTGCCAGCTCACCCCATTTGGTCACCAGTACCTGGTGGCATTTTTGGCCCGATGTAAGGAGATCGAGATTAAGCCGTCTCTAGATCTTTTTAAGCACCTGTTTAGGGTTGGTCAATGCTCCCGAGCTAATAGTCTGTCATGGGTATCTATTTCCCAACGTGCCCACCTTGACGCGTGGAAAGTTTCGCACAGTAAAATCAATAATTGGAAGGAAGAATTCATCTTTGTGTCTACCGGACATGCTCTCCCCTTCCCCACAGTTTTCAGCCCTCATTATAAGAAGTTTGCGCGTCTCACTCTTCCCGCCGATCAAGAGTTTTGGCCGGAAAAGTTCTTAGCGGGCGGACCGTTTAGCATTTCTACATATACTACCGAGGACCATTTGAGCAGACTTGGTTTCCTCACCTCGGGCTTGTGCTCACCATCGGACATCCTCGCCCCCTTTCTTTAGGCCCAGGTTGTCTACGCTCACCGTGCTCTTTTTGGAACAAGATCCTTCCCATGATTAACAAATTAATATATGTGTATATTATTTATTTATTCTTACAGGTATGACGTCCCGTACGGAGAGGTTCAAGAAGATGAATGGCGAAGGGTCACATGCGTCCGCTCAAGACCGGCCGAGCAAGAAACAAAAGGCCATACTACCCGCCTCGCAAGGTGAAGGTGTCTCGTCCCCTTCTATGCCCATTACCAACGACCCAGTTACCAAAGAGACACGGCGCATCACCCGGAGCACTAGTGGTGCTCGTGATGTCATGCTCAAGGAAGGACTGAAGAGTGTGGCTGATGGACCGTTGCAGGATGATTGTCTCCATGTCGCAGCAGAGGTAACCACTCACTTTCCTTCATAGCATTGCATGTATAACAATCATAAGTATGTGACTAATAATATATACTATATAATATATTTTTTGTAGCTTGTGTTGAAGATCTCCGGGAAGAATCGTCAGCATGTTGTGCGCGAGCAAGAGCTATTAACGTTGCTTTCTGAAGAGCGGGCTGCCCATAAGAGATTGATGAGCGAAGTGATTGAAGCTCACACGGTCAGGGAGGCACAGGAGAGGGATGCTCACGCTGCCGAGTTAACCAAGGTCCGCGCTGAGCGGGAACACTACATTGATTCCCACCTAGAAGAGATTGCTGAACGTTGGCTTAAAACTCCCGCCGGCGTCGATAGACTTGACAAAGACGGTTTACTGTGCTACAATTTGGGGGAATATACCAAACAACAGGAAATTTATGCTGTTTTGAAGGCCAAGCACGGCGCCTCATGCATTGTCGATTGGGGGCTTCCTTTTGAGATTCCTAACCCAGAGCCTGAAAATGTTGACTCTTCTTCCAGAGTCGTTCCCTTGGGCGAGCTCCCTAGGGGTGAAGATCCTGATCACCCCATAACTTCCAAAGAAGTAGCAATGCTGGGGCTTTAGCTGCGTTTGAGCGATCCCCTCTTCGACCATCTATGCCTTGGAGAGTGTTAGAGTTAGACTACCATAACGTGGTCTGCATGTTCTTTTTCTTTAATACCTAATTTGTTAGACCGTTTTTTTGAATTTCAAGCAAACAATTATCTTGACAATGTAATATTTCCTTTTAATATCGTTTTTTTTTTAAATATTGTTACCTGTACGGGTGATCACGTTGCACACCGCGCCCTGCTCAAGTGGGGTGTGCGCGGTCATTGTTTTCGTTGTCGTATTATATGATGGTATAGCGCTGAGCATAGAACTCGGCGTCTCCCCCTCCCCAAATTTCTCCCGATGTCTGATATGAGAACTTTGGTTCAGTATGACGGTACTGTACATTACTAGGGGGTTACCATGGACAGCAAAAGGCACAAGTTGTCGGGGACTCCTCCTCCTTTGCTACGTTGTGCGCATCACTCAGTAGTGACCTCAGAGCCATGTTGAGTGAGCGAACCTGATGACCAGGTTTGCACAGGGCACACGACGTCTTTCGGGAAACATGGTCGCGCCTAGGGATTCCTACATGCACATCCTGACCATGCGACCCAGGGGTTAGGCATTGCAAGGAACATGCTCAGGGCATATTCCTCTTTTTTATGGTAACACATTGAGTGTCGCCCAAGCTTTTATTGTTATCAATATTGTACTAGAATATCTTCCCATAGCGACCGCGGAGGGTCTTTTTTTTTTTTTTTTTTTTTTAGGTGCGAAATGTTCTCATAGTAATGGTGACGGTAACAGACCGTGCACACCATAGTACTTTATTGATGAGTAGATGTTGAACTTGCATTATAGTGGTGAGATAAAACACTAAAAGAAGTATATTACTGGTAGAACTTGATTAGGTGCTCAGCATTCCACGTCCTCTCGATCTCCTTCCCTTTAGGTGTCTGAAGTTTGAAGGTCCCCGGACGGATCACTGATTTTATGATGTACGGACCTTCATAATTCTTTGAAAACTTTCCGCCTTCCAAGGGTTTACTCACTTCTCTTTTCCTCAAGACATAGTCTCCGACGTCAAAGTTTCGTTTGCGCACCCGAGAGTCGTGGTATGCCTTGACTTGCCTTCGATAGTTCTCTGCGCGGCAGAAAGCCGCTTCTCTTCTTTCTTCAATGAAATGAAGTTCGGTTGTCATGATCTCCTCGTTTATTTCTGGATCATACTGTTCCTCTCGATGGCTACGGAGCATTACCTCGGCTGGCGCCCTCACCTCAAAACCGTATGCAAGAGCAAATGGTGTTTCGCCAGTTGCCTTCCTCGGCGTAGTCCTGTACGCCCAGAGTATTTGTGGTAGTTCCTCAGCCCACTCGCCTCCGGCTGCTACGAGCTTTTTTTTTAAACCATCCATAATTGTGCGGTTTGCATTTTCCACCTGCCCATTTGCCTGAGGGTAAGCGACCGATGCACTGCTGTGTTTGATTCCCCAACTCTCACAAAAGTCATTAAATCTAGATGCTCCGAACTGCCTTCCATTATCGGTTATGATTTGTTGGGGTACTCCGAAACGGCAGAGGATGTGTTTCATGACAAATTTCTTGCATTGTCCTTCGGTGATGCTCGCCAAGGGTATCGCTTCGATCCATTTGGTAAAGTAGTCTATGGCCACAATAACCCATCTGACGCTCCCCGGTCCCCCTCGGCAAGGCCCCGATAAGATCAATTCCCCATCTAGTGAATGGTATGGCCGTGCTGATGGGGGTATAATACGTTGCTGGGCGTCCCGGAGATTTCTGAAACTCTTGGCACACGACACACTTTTTAACAAAGTCTGCACAATCTTTTACAATGGTTGTCCAGAAGAATCCTTGTAGAATTACCTTTCGTGACATGGTGTGCGCCCCCTGATGCGCTGAGCATGTCCCTGCGTGTATTTCTTCCATGGCAGCCATGGCCTCATTTGGTCGTAGACACTTGAGGAGTGTGCCATTGTAAGACCTTTTATACAGCACATCATTTAAAATCGTATAACTTGGCGCCCTCATCCTGATCACCTTGGCTTCAACCTCCTCAGCAGGCAATATTCCCTCACGAATATACTTGGTGAGGTGGTCTATCCAGTCCTCGTTTCTAGCAATTATGGTGTGCACAGGACATGCATATATGCTAGAAGTGTCTAGTTCTTCCACTCTTGCGATCCTTGAGATCCTCTCGGGGGTCTCTACGCTGAGTTTGGACAGCATGTCGGCCTCAACGTTCTGTCCCCTCGGAATTTGTTCAATCTCATAAGCTATGAACAATTTTAAGAGTTCCAATGCAGCATCGCGGTACTGCCTCATGCGTTCCTCCTTTGCCTCAAATTCGCTTGTGATTTGTCCCACAACTAGCTTCGAATCACATCGGATCTTTACCTTCTCCGCCCGCATGTTCGCCGCTAGGCGCAAACCACATAACAGAGCCTCATACTCTTCTTGTTTTGAAGCACTTTAAAGTATCATTATTAGATACTTTAAAATTGAACCGGATGGCATAGTAGGCCCTAAAGCCTTCGGGCGTGGTGAGGACCACCCCTCCGCCACAAGATTTGGCCGCGGAGGAGCCGTCCGTGGACAGGATCCACCACTCAGAATCATGGTCTTCATGCCTCGTCTTCGTCGCTTCTTCACGTGCTGTGCATTCCACAATGAAATCCGCCAGAGCTTGCCCCTTGACTGAAGGGCGAGGCTTCACTTCTATGTGGAATTGACTAAGGTATACTGCCCATTTGACCATCCTTGATGATGCTGTGGGACTCCTCATCAACGCGCCTAGAGGTTGGTGTGACAAAATATGGACGGGGTGAGCTTGGAAGTATTGCGTCAGTCGTTTGACTGTCCACACCACTGACAAAACAGTTTTCTCTATGGCAGTGTACCGTAGCTCAGCATCCCTCAGGGTTTTGCTGACATAGTAAACAGGTCTCTGAGCACCACCCTCCTCACGTACCAAGACAGAGCTTATTGCACTCGGGGAGACTCCCAGATATAGATAAAGGGTCTCCCCCGTCTCTGGTTTAGATAACACCGGAGGAGATAAGAGATATTGCTTCAATCCTTCAAACGAAATTTGACATTCCTCAGTCCATACAAAACCTTTTGACTTCTTCATGATGTGGAAGAACGGTGTGGCCTTCTCAGCTAGTTTTGATAAGAAGCGGTTTAGTGCTGCTAAGCGTCCTGTTAATCGCTGGACCTCCTTAACATTACGGGGAGGCTCCATGTCCAGAATGGCTTTAACCTTCTCTGGATTTGGCTCAATTCCTCTCCGGCTCACCAAGTATCCTAAAAACTTCCCGCCTTGCACCGCAAAAGTGCATTTCTTCGGATTGAGGCGTAGATTGAATTTCTCCATGATTTTGAATACTTCTGCCAAATCCATAGCATGTGTGCCTGATTTTTTACTCTTCACAATCATATCATCCACGTAGGCCTCCATGGTGCGGCCTAGGACAGGTCTGAAAAGCTTAGAGATCATGCGGGTGTACGTTGCCCCAGAGTTTTTTAGTCCAAATGCCATGACCATGTAACAGAAAACGCCCTCTGGAGTCATGAACGAGGTCTTCTCTGCATCCTCCTCATGCATGCGAATCTGGTGATATCCACTGAAGGCATCCATGAAACTCATCAGCTCACATCCCGCTGTTTCGTCCACCAATTGGTCGATGTTAGGCAATGGGAATGGATCCATCGGGCATGCCTTGTTGAGATCTGTGTAATCAACACACATCCTCCATGTTGGGGGTTTAGGTGCCAATACCACGTTTGCTAACCATTCTGGGTATTTAACCTCCTTGATATGTCCGATTTTTAACAAGGTGCCCACTTCTTTCCTTACGAACTCCCGCCTGTCCGAGGACATGTAACGCTTCTTTTGTTTTACTGGTTTTGACATGGCATCCACGTCCAGGCGATGAGAGATAACATCTCTACTGATGCCTGGCATGTCTTCTGGTCCTCTCGCAAATACACCTTGGTACATGGTCAGGACGGCTATGATTTCGGCGCGGAGCTCAGTCCCCAATCCGGTTCCTATCTTAACCTTCCGCTCTTGTGTTTCGGGGTCAAGGGTGACCTCCTCTGTTCCTTCTGCGGGTTCTGCACGGGGCCTTTGTTCTTCATCCTGTAGATATTGTGTGGCGACAGTGTTTACCTGGAGGTCATGACGCCCCACCTTCTTTGTGATTTTTATGTAGCATCTTCGGGCGAGCTTCTGGTTCCCGCGTGCTATCCCCACTCCGGTCGGTGTTGGGAACTTAATACAGAGATGTGTCGGGGACACAATGCATTGCAAATCTTCCAGCCCTGGTCGTCCGAGTATAAGATTATGTGCACATGCCAATCGAACGACCACGAACTCCATGTCGAGCTTCACTTTGTGGGATGTGTCTCCTACTTCCACTGGGACTGTGATGACTCCTTCTGCTTCGATGGAGTCACCCGTGAACCTAGACAATGGGGTCTTGATCGGATGGAGTTTTCCTTTAGACAACTTCAATTTCTCGAAAGTGTCGATGTACATTATGTTCACGGAACTTCCCGTGTCGACCAGGGTACGGTGTATGATAAGATCGTTAATCTCCATTTTGATAACCATGGCATCCCGGTGTGGGCTTGGACATGGTGGTAGGTCATCATCAGTAAAACATATAGGCTCACGTCGTACCTTCTTCTTCATTGGAGAGTGCATGATCTCACCAATATACAATTGACGGGCCCACTTCTTCCGAAGGGATGAAGAGTCACCACCCGCATTACCTCCATAGATGAAATTGATGTCATGGTGTCTTCTCTCCCGTTTCGGCCCTGGTTCTTCTGAGGCCTCCTCGTCGCTCTCATTCCCGATATGCCTTTTCTCTGCCATGCGTGTCTCCTGCTGCATGCACGCCACTTGTTCTGAAGGCTTCCTCCATACATGGTTGGGTTGTTGCGTAGCCCCTTTGACGAAATTATTTGAATGGCTCCTTTGGATCAGTCTCTCAATCTCCCGTTTCAAGGTGAAACACTCCCCCGTATCATGACTATCAACCCGGTGATAGCGACAATACTTTTTAGCACCAGAGACAGCGTACACTTCACCCTCTGGCCTCGGTCCTTGCATGAGACCTGTACGCTCGGCATAGTCCATGATCGTGCCCACCGGATGGGTTAGGGACACTGGGCTCTCATTAGGAATCT